CAGGCAAAGAGAATTCTAAATTTGCAACTTTTTTTACATACATTCTATCAAGGTATTTAAAAAAACCCCTTAAAAATAAGAGGAGGTTTGTGGTTTTTTTAAAATAATATTATTATTGTTCATTAATTCATTATTGTTACAAGATATTGCAAATAAATTTGTATGTTTCAGGTTATGGACTGGTTAACTACACCAGTGATGTAAATATGAAAGATCAGGGAAAAGAAGCAATTATATTTTCCTTTTATGCATATCAGATTGCGAGAAGAACTATAATCTAATTTGCCCTTACTATCAATCTTTAGTTGAACTCAAGTTCATTCAAAATGATGCTATGACCTAGCTATACTATGGACTAATATGGCAATAACAACAAATATCCCTAAAAAATTATTTCAACCTCATGTGAAAAAAATAGGGAAACCATGAACAACCTACTACCAGAAGTAGCAGTTTAATAGCGTGCTTCATTTCAGCCTGTAGCCTAAAAAATACAGACTCTAAAAAGAAATACCAGCCTTTCAGGAGATTGTATATAATTGCACAAGTTGGGTCTTTTCATTAGGAAATTTACTCTTCTTCAGATTTACAGCTCTGAGTGTAACAAAATCTTTGTCACATGGTGCAGACTTACAAGATTTTTTTTCACCATACAAATTAATTTGTTTTTACTCAGTGGAAACCAATTCAGCAGCACCCGCTGAATTTGCTGCTGTGAGAGTCGCCTTTTCAGAGTCTTAGAGCCCAACAAAACACTAAGCATGTGCCTAACATTAAACCTGTGCTGCAGTTTCCTCAAGGTAAATGGGATGCAAATGAATGTTAGGTTGTTTTGTTTAATATGGATGATCTCATGCACCTTTGAACTATTCTGTTGCCAGCTGCCAGCTGCCACTTACCACTACTAGAGAAGTCAGTTTTATAGGACACGGATTGGACCACTTTAAACTAATCTTTGCAAAAAACCCCCAGTTCACTGGGAGGAGGAAAAAGTGTCTGATAACACCACCTCTGCAAGTTGCTCAGATGGGTGGAAGAAAGAGGGCACAATGCCCAAGGTACTCTAGCTGACACCGCAACCATACAGCTTATATTTTACTTCCATAACCATTTATAAAGAACACATCAAAATAAACAGCAACGAGTAGCTTGTGCTCCCTATCATAACTTATCACCTCTCAGTACCTCATGTACAATAATACTTCCATGAAAATCAAGCTATATTGCTTCTGCTTTTTTGTACAACATTTTCCATGACTAAGAGCAGCAAGTGACAACACGTTCTCCAGTAACTGAGATTGATTATTGGTGCTTCAGCACATCCATAATCATGATGCACGCAGCATGGAGAGGTGGAATTATTTTCATATACTGAGCTGATTGGTAGAAACCCCTTCTTTTGTAACTGAACTGAATATGTATAGGATGCATGCAATATACCCTAGAGGAAGGAGTATTGTGCTCGCTCATGCCTTGCGTGGCTCTGAGCAAGACAAATCATGCATGCTCACTGCATTTGCTACTCTCCAGTCACAGTGGTCACATAAATTTACCAGTGGTTACCACTCTGAAGTATGTGAGATACTACTGTTTTATTATTAACAATAGTGAGATTCTGAAAGAGGAATCAGAAATGAGCGTGGTACATGGCAGAAAGTATGGCACTTGTAGGTCTGGATTTTACTGCAGTAACATTGGTTTTACAGCTGGCTAACTGTACTGACTTCAAAAGAATTGCTGCAGATTGTTACTAATGAAGTGACTATGGAGTGTGAACCTCTGTAGCTGCTTACAGCAACAGGAAACTGAAGATTCTTTGGCAGAAAAAGATTTTTTCTTTGCTTTGCTTATCCAGCATATTAGACAATACTTTTTTATTTTTATGTCATTTCTAAAAATCTGAACTGAGCAATACTGTCTAACTGTGGTATTGCAACAACAAGAGTTAGTGCTATGGTAAATCTCATTTGATTAAATGGATTAAACAGCAGTTTGAGGCTATGGAAATGGACAAGGCACTGTAAACTCCTTAACGATTAAGAGTGATTAAAGAAATGCTTTTTAAGGTGAAATATGGTTACAAACAGCTCAGCAACAAAAAAAAAGCAGTAATATATTTATGCAATAATGAATTTTCTATATAAGGATTAACACACCAAATTGCAGACAGTTGAATAAGCATTTATTATCCATTTTCTGGTTATTTCATGTTTCTCTAGACAGTAAGCTACATGTTACCCAACAGGGAAGACTAGAGATGAAGTATAAAACACAACACAACAGAATGTGCTACAGTTTATAAAATAATACACCAAAAAGAAAGTGAAATACAATGCAATGTGGTATCATCCTTAGAATAGGGTTTCCTCTGGACTAATGTTTATGGTAGCTCACTCTCCATAACTTTTACATATCACAAGACTTCTGAATATTGAAATGCTTTGGCAGAAATACTGCATTCTTTCCCAATCCATCTTACTTCAAATTTTAGTTCGTGTAT